CATATAATGATTAAACCTTACCAAATCTTGAAAGAAATTTATCAATAATTTGTTACTGTGAAAAATTTATTAGATAAATAAAACATGCCTAACATCTATTGAACAAAATAATTAATTCCAACGTTAAATATTAATTTTAATATGGTTTTTTTTATGAATAATTACTGATAGAATTGTGCCCATTCAATAAATCGAATAACATTAAAATAAAATATCTTCATATATGAAAATTTTTTAATATTATTATATGAACATTTTAGTTTCTGTTTTAATAAAATTTCATCAATTGGTCTAATAATAAGAAATAATTTATTCTATTACTTATTTAGGATTTTTAACTTAAGTTGTTTGAAATCTTAACACTAACTTAATTGCAAACTGCCGAAGCAAACTAACTGCTTATAATTTATAAAATAATTTTATAGCTTAAGAATTGTGTTAAAAAGGGATGAAATATTTATGGGAATATATACATGTGGAAACATATACGTAGTAATGATAACATTTAAATATATTGTGACATATACGTCTGGTTATAATGCTTAATAAAAAGTTAAATCCGTTTTTCGCGATAAATAATGATTTAAAATGATACTATGAGTAATTATTTATAATATTATAATTTTGCTTGCTATATTATGGTAAGTTAATATAATAAAATACAATAAATATAAGATATATAAAAATTTATAATTTAAATTTTAATCGAATTTATATAACCTACTTTATATATTTTTTATTTGAATTAAATACTATAAAGATTAAATATATGAAATTATACTAAATTCATTTGAATCTATTAATAAATCAAGTATATAATTTATAGTAGATAAAGATTTAATAATTGAAGCATATTGTATTATAAAAATTTGATATAAATTTGGCATTATTTATATAATAAATCAATTATGTTTTCTACAACATTATGTAGATTCTTTTTTAAGAATACATATGAAAGAAATCAATGCAATAAATTCTACCTCGATAACTCAATTCAGCTCACTTTTGAGTTTTTGTATTTTGAATAAATTTGTGCATACAGCGATACTAGAAAAGTAATCTTACAGTTATCATGTTCATTATACGTATTACAAAATTGAATTTTGTCTGGAATAAATAGAGGAAGTTTATTTCTTTTAGAATGCTTTAATGTTCGTAAATGAAAGGTGCAACTACTGACGATATACAGTATACTGTTTATGGGTACATCATTTATGGGAATCAACTCTCTCTCTATTTTTCTCTCTCTCTCTCTTTTCTCTCTTGAACTAATTTTGTTTATTTTTATTTCATACACTTTGTGAACATTATTTCAAAATATTAAAAAAAAATACGAATAATATAATTAATATAATTGCATAACATTAATAGTTGTTCACGATAAAAATTAATTAAATAATGAATAAAATCATGAATAAATCAGAAATAATAAAAATATTATTTATATTTTATTATTATCTAAAATAACAAGATATAGATAACAGTCATACGAATTTTTTGTAATTACAAAAGTTTTAATGTAATGTTTTAGTATAATATTACGGCATCAATAAATTATAATCTAATTCATACTAGTTATTCATACTAATTATAAGATATAGTGTACATTCAAGAAGATATTGTTATAAAAAGTTGTTGTGTTAAGACCCATTATTTACAAATAAAAGACCACAGTAAAAAATAATTGTTATAATTGAAACACTGATCTGTGTATAAAAATTGTTTAAATTAAATTAATTTATGAAAAATTCAAGCTTAGTAAAAAGTCTATTTAATAAATATCGTATTATAAAATTAATAATAGAATAAAAGTGAACATAAGAAGATGTTGTGCTTTTTTTAGAAATCATTCTTGTTTTGCAGCTTGAATAAAAAAAATTGTAAGTAATCTAGAGTCTGGTGGCGAAAAAATGTGCTACGTCTAATAACACCTAGTTGTCCGAATTTATCAGTTTGTGCATGCGGAGTTCGGAAGTTGCACACAACTAGAAGCATATCCGTCGTTCGCTGCAAGCAGGCATTGAAATCACCTGCTTTTTCGTATGTAGGGACTTTAACATATTCAATGCGGATAAATTAGTTTTTCAGAATATTTATTATATTATAATTTATCTATTCTGAATCGAGGTTTTATTATGTATTATATTTCGGATTCGTGTATTCTATTTGTCTTTTTATAAAGTATTGGTGTTTATAGATGTCCTCGAGTATTACAATTTATATTGTTCATTTTTTTGTTTTAGTTTTTACAATATAATTAGTATTTATTAGTATATAAATATTATATAATTATATTAAAAGAAGAAATATAAACATTTTTTAAATAAATAAATAGTATATTTATGTATAATTAATAAATACGAAAATATATTTTATTATAAAATATCGTAAGTTTTATAATATTTTGTATATATTAAAATGAACAATTAAATACGTTTTTATATCTTTTTAATTTTAATTTAGTATTTGAATTTAACTTTAAAGAAGAAACTTTGTAAGAATTAAAAATTGGTAGCAAGTTTATCGTAATATAAAATAATTATACAATAAATTTAATTCTATGAATAATTCTGATTTTATAAGATATATTAAAAGTGTATAGTCTTATAAATACTAGAAGCAAATTTCAGTGTGAAGAAAATTTTTTTACTGTAATAAATTATTTTTAAAAAAATGGGTATTTGGCTTCTATCCTTTTATATGATTCACATTTTATAGTCAATTAATAATTTATACGATAAAGTAATTCTTTAAATTTATGTAACATAATGTTATTAGTTTGTCTTGCCTCGTTTCAATAGAAACATATAGTGCGTGATATTGGTGATTGATAGCTTATAATTTGTAATCCGCTTGTTGATTATATTCTTATTATTATATTATTGCAGTGTTCATAGTATTTTAAGGAAGGTGATTATTTAAAAATCTGTTTAGTGATTAAATATGTATTCTTTTATTGAAGGAGTATTAAAATGTAAATAATAACTAAAGTTGATAAAATTTGATCAGTTAATATAAAAGTATATTTTTAAGATTTTCATGTAATTATTAAGGATTGCATAAATATAATACTTTCTCAAAAACTTTTTGAAATAAATATTTATTTCAATTAATATTTATGCTCGAAAAAGATATAATTAGGTTAAAATTTATATAAAACTACTGTAAAACTGTTAAGTATGAACATTTTCATACTCATCAAAATGCCAGTTATATTATTGACTAAACTTCGATTTTATTATCAATCTTATTTAAGTCATAGTTAAGTAGTTGAACAATGTTAATGTTTTATGTGTATTTATTCATTAATTTAATGAAATATTAATAAATTAATTAAAATGCTTTAATTATACATTTAAAGTAATATTATTCATGATTCTTTGATTATTTCTTTATTCTTTGTATTTTCTTCTTCAAATATATTATTTAAAACGTACCAAATTCTTTATTCCAAATTATTCATAGTCTTAAACAAATACAATAACATAACGTTGATTTAAACAATAATTTTTTATATCAAGTATTTATTATAAGATAATTAATTTGATTAAAAAATATGTAATTACTTCAGTAATTGCTGCCAGGAAAAAATGTATCTGATTAATACAAAATATTTATATCTCACGCTTATTTTCTGTTAAAAAAATATGATTTTAATAAATTTATTTAAAATTGATTATTATTTAAGTAAATTTTAATTTTTCTATATTTCAAAATTATCTACTTTTATTTAAAAATACACTTTTTGAGTTAAATACGTAGATATTATACTTAAATTATTTATTTATATATAGAAGGTTATTGTTAGATTAAAATTATTAGTTTTCTTAATTTATTTCAATTAAACTAAAAATTAAATTAAAAATCAAATAAAAACTTATTCCTCATTTTATTTATTAATTCTCTTATATGTTTTAATTATATCAATTATATCGAGATTTTGTTAAAATATAAATGACATCGATTTAATAAATAACTAATTATCTATAACTATTTAATAAAAATTATGTACAATATCTTTCCACTGATTTTCAAATAAAAAATACATATTTGGCATAATAATAATAATAATACTAATATTCAATTTACATACAATAAAAATATATTTTATAAATTTGTAATATAGTACATATAAAAATTTTAATAAAAATTTTGTAAATAGAAATAAATACTTTTAATATTAAAAGTTTCCAATTTATAATATAGAATTTTATTATGTTTATTTACCATTTAAACCAAATTTATATAACAATTTGAATATAAACATAGGTGATGTATAATATTATGACTAAGAAATGAATATGAACATTTTCATTCTTTGTGTATTTGTATTAATTTGTTAATATATATTTTGAATATAATATTTTAATATATTGCACTCTTCATTATACTTTTTTTAATTAAACTATGTTTAAGAGGTCAAATTTTAATTATTATAGGCTTACATATTACTTATTAAATTAATTTTTCAAGATGTACAAATTTTTAAGTTGTTTACAGTAGTCATAATAATTTATATTCTTATAGTTATTGTGTTGTATTTTATAAATTTTGTATAAATTGAAAATGTACAAACATACATTTAATAAACCGTAAGAATAGCTTTTGAAAATATAAGATATTTTAAATAATACATATAATTCAATTCAGATGAAATTTATTTAAGCCGTAAATAATTAATTAATTAATTAATCAAATCATAACCCAATTATGATTATAATATTTTTAGCTTTTTGCTTTTCATTTAGCTTTCATCGAAATACCTCCATTATTTTTACATTCATCTTCTCTTCTACAATTTATTCCTTTTATCTCTTTTGGTTTGTGTTCCTTGTCTCCCTCTCTCTTACCTTCCCCTTCTTATTTTCTTTTAGAAATTTAATTGCGATAACTTGAGATAGGTTCGCAAAAAATAAGATCGATGAAAAAAAAAAGATGACTAGAAATAGACTAGGCTTCTAAATAAGTATTATAAAACTTATACAAGTTTTAGTACTTACCACAGTTTGAACTACCGGCAGGTAGCTGATGAAGTTGATTAACAGGACATAGAGGCAGGCGATAGTCGGTGGAGTCCAGAAGTACTTACGGTTATCGCTGTGCCTGCGCTTTGAGACTTGCATATTATAGGCGTGCTGTTGCCTTTGTTGTATCATACTATCTTTCTTTTATCCAGATATATTATACACAGATCTTGTGCCCGGTGGCACGAGCTTTACGTAGTAATGTCCGAAGCTCTGGTAGTCGAGGTTTGTTTAGCGTTTCCTCTAGAAACAAAAAGACGGCGGCTACGAGCCTGGATAGCAGCGGCGATTGTGCGGTGTCGAAACGACGATTGGGTAGAGAAGCTTTTACGATATGAGGCGCGCGTAAATGCGAGTCACAAAATACGCGCGCGCGCACGTTTCGTCAGCGGGCGTTGCTTCTGTTTTTCGCTGTCGGACTTTACTTTGCTTTCTATTTCACATATACATATGTACACCCTCCTTCCCTTCCTCTTGTTGCGCTTGCTGTGACGAGTCGGGCGTTCTCCAGTAGCTGGTTCTGGTCTCCTATTTGATGTATACTACCTTCCGTTTTGCGCTTTTCCTCCGCCTTCTTTTTCTCTTCCTCCCCTGTGCATACTTACCATCAGTCTTATCTGTGCATCAACTTGCACTAATAGTTACTAAGGGTATCTTTGCGCCTGGTATTCTTTGCTTACCAGTCCCCTCTCCTGCATCAAGACAAATAAGAAGAAAAATTCGACGTAGAGACCGAGAGTCAAGCTAACGTACGCATGGTCGCGCAACAGTCAGGAGGAGATGTGCGCTCCGACTGTGTTCCCTCATCTCGGCGCAGGGAGGTTCGTCGTTCCTTTCCCCTTTCTGCAACGGTTGTCTTATGCGTGTGCTGTACATGCAGAGGCAGGCTTCTTCGCGGAGGAATTCCAATGGGCGCGTCACGTATCACCATCGCCGCCGCAAACGCCACCGTTGCCTCCACCTTCCCTCAGTTTTCATTGAGAGAGCTTCCCGGACGGGACGCGACGACTGTTGCCGTTGCTGCTGGCCCTGCGCCGGCTGCAAGAGAGCGCGATACTCTCTACGGTGCATCCATCTTCTCTCTGTCCGTCTGTCTGCCTATTTTTTTCTCTCTCTCTCTCTCTCTCTATCTCTCTCTCTCTCTGTCTGAACTCGATAACCGATCGTAAAAACGAGGGAAAGCTTTATTCACACGCGAGGAAGCATCGATAGAGGAGGATAGATCGAAGTTTAGCTTATTCGGCAGTAGGAAATTGCCATAGCTTTTCGAACGTTGGCACATAAAAACTCACCTGGCGGATCATCATGATCCGGTTGGGAGTGCGGTGAGTTTTTTTCACAATGCTTTTTCATTTTAGTTCTATCTTTTAGTCTCTTTACTGTGAACTAAATGTTTCATCCTTTTGGTGTTATGTTGATATTAACGTCATTATGAGAGTACAATGAGATTTTTTAAAAAGAACTTCAAACATATTCAAATAAGCTAATAGAAATAGTAATATATTCTAATTGTTTTTTCGTCTAAAATGAATGATATAAAGAAAACGCTTAATGGATGCATAATCGATTGATAACAGATTACAAAAAAGGAGCCTGTTGATCGATACAATTTTTCTTCTAATATAGTAAAATTTAGTCACATAACATAAAAGTTAAAAAAAAAGTAAAACAAAAGATACAAAAAAACGAAAAACAAATAGAAGAAAATTAGACAAACTAATGAGGCGTTATCTTCTTCACAGATTTATTACATTTCTGATGTGCCTGGCTGTTATAGTCAAAGGGGTAAGTTAAGAAAGACGTAATTAGTGGAAGTCACCGATTGCTTCACACAGATTAATGTTGGCATAGCAAGTGACGATCGATTAATCGACTGTTCGTTTGTACGTCTTTAAATTTTTGGCCGCGATTACGAACAAGGAAAACAGATTGAATTTCGAGATTGATTGCAGTGCTCTACATAATACATTCCAGAAGCCATTTCCAAATAGGCATTATAGTACTGTCTCCGGTCATTTTCAAAAGCAAGGATTCAGAATGGTGGTGACTGGATGTAGTACGCGATTAATATTTCGTTCTTCATAGAGTAAAATCGATATCAATGATTTCATTTACATAAAAAAATGCAGATGCTTCGTGTCATCAAAGTTTAATTTACTTTGGAATGCAATTAATCATAAATGGATACGGGTCCTATTTTAAAGCAAATATGATTTGCTATCGTAAATGTAAATAGTGCGCTGACATAATGCTTATTATTTTTTATACTTATTATTTTATTTTCATTGGTTTTATTTATTTATAGGTTTTAGTTAATTGAAATTATTTAGTTTAAATACTTGTTAATTATTTTTATGAAATAATTGTAAATTAAAAATTTATAATTATCTCCTATAGAATTTTTTTTACATTTTATTGTCTGAAATTTCATAGCATATAGATTATTAGAAATATATATGATAACAATAGTTCGATAAAAATTTATATTATGAAAAATTTGATCGAAATTGTACATTCGAAAGAATTTGTTTAATATACAGTACAAGTAAAGAAGATATAATATGTATAAAGTTTAAAAACGAACTTTCCATTCCTCTAGATATTCAAAATTACAATAGAAAATTATATTTAATATTCAATTAAACCCCTGAAAAATAAGAAAAATATATTCGTGTTTGCACGTTAATGTATAAATGTACTGATACAATCAAAATGTCCTTTAAAATCAATTAAAAATAGCACAATTTTACAGAATTTCTATAATATGAAACTTATATGAAAAATAAAAGTAATATGTACTTATTTTTAACATAGATACATAAAATTATTAATAATAAACTAATATTTTAAAATAAATATGTTGTAATATTTACAAATATATATTATAATTTACTTTAGGTGCATAATCTTATATAAATAACTGTAAGAAATATACATCTTGTACATAAATTAAAAAATCTATAAAGTAAATATAATATAGATCCTTTGTATAAAAACTATAATGTAAATTGAATTCAACAACTTAACAAATTTTATATTTTAATAAAAGAAAAAGAATATAATTTTTTAATTTCATAATGATTGTAGTTGTTAAAAATGATAAAGTAATGTTTTTATTAAAAATAAATTCAGTAATTTAAATTGTCTACATGCATATAAAATATTAACATTAACACTATGGAAAAAGTAGAGAACCTTATTATTTTAATATAGGTAAATTATGAATACCATATATTTATATTCAAAATAATATTATTTTAATTTGTTCAAATTTAATAGAAATCTATTAAGTTAATGAAATATAAATTAACATGTAATATATTAACAAAAATAAAAAAATTACAAACGTATTTGGTTTCGATTAAAATTTGTAAAATTTTATTATAAAATTTTAATTTGTAAAATATGAATCACCATTTTTTAATATAAATTATTATAAAAAAATTTTAATTCTTGTTTCGACAATTTCTCGGATGAATTATAAAATGATTTAAATATTCGAAGATAATTAATTACAATTTCATAAATCGTCAAAAGTATTTATTAATGGATGTAAAGGTAAATATAAATAGATGTAAATGTAAATTAATAAATATTAATATTATAATAATACATTATATCGTATATTATAATAAGATTTATTTAAACTTATTTTCTCAAAAATTTGTCTTCGATATGTTTCGTGTATTTCATGAATAAATTACGTGTGCTTATTGAACACACACGAAATGATCTTCTTAATAAAAAAAGGTAAAAATTATTCATGTATTTTTAGATAGTTGAAGATGCAAATAAAGTATATATTAATTAAAAAATAATAAGGATTAATATAATGTTTCCATAAAAAATATATATTATTAAGGTAGTCAATATATAGATGTTATATTTTATGACTTTTATTTAAGAAATAATTTTGTATTCTTTATAAATTCTATTTTGTCATCAATAGTTTCTTTTTTTCTTTTCTTTCTACTTATTGTTTATAATCTTATATAGAATCTTTAGACTGTTTTACATATATACTATAATGATACTTTTTATGTAACTAGTGAAAAAAAAGATTTACGGATTTAATTTTACAAACACTCTTAATCCCAAAAATGAATATTAAAAAAATAAAAGTAAGAAACCTACGATTACATTAGAAGCGAATGCATTATATTATAAAAGTAATTTAATTTATTTCCATAATAAAATATTTATACAAATGGATTAATATGGTTCCTCATTTTCAATTAACTTATTTACACAAATATTTTTAAATTATGGTACAATTATAGTATAGTTTCAACATTTTTAATGGCTTTATTCATTCAACATTAACTAACATTAAATACTATATGAAACAGGAGATTTCTGAATTTAATTTTTATAAAAAATGATGGGCTGTTTAATATGATTATTGTTTTTGACAATTTTTGTACACATTAATTACTAGTTATATATATAATTACTAGTTATATAAATATTTTAGTTTTATATTATAATAATATAATAATAATATATTATTATACTATATTACATAATTATTATAATCATAATAAAAATATATTAATATATATTATTGCATTATATTGGTTTTAAATCTTAACTGTACATTTTGTTGATAAAATTTTCTGGCTGTTTTTCTATATTAAATTAATACAATTAGATGAATTTTATGTAAGCATATGTTTAAGGTTAAATAACATTACTAATCTAAAAACGTTATTAAATATTTCTCTATATATGATAAAAAAATTTCAGTTTATATACGTATAGTTCAATAATAAATATCCCTAAAATTTATGCTCTCATTTGAAACTGAATCAATGTTTAAATATCAGTTTTATATATATATATATAAACTTTCGAACTTTCGCAAATTTTCAAAAATCTACCATGAAATTTTCGAGATTGCACAATAATTTTTAATAAATTAGGTTGATAGTCATAATAAAAAAAAATTTTGTTAATTAATTTTTAATTTGTTAATACAATTTTTTAAGTAAAAATTATGAAAATTTGTTGTATCAAATTATGCTATTACACTTACTTATTTATTAAGATTTTATTATATTTAACAATATAGAACTTCTTGATCTTTGTTTTCATATAAAATATATATTTACAAAATACTTAGAAGTATTCTTATTAATATATTAAGTAAATATTGTATTTATAATTTTTACAATAAAATATTAATAAATTATGTTTAAATTTAATTAAAATTTATGTTAAAGTATAAAAGTTATTTACTTATTAATGAAAAACATTTAAAAATTTTATTTTATCACTTCTTTGTTACTTGTGAAAAGTATATAACATCTTTTTCTAAAAAAGAATATTTAGTACATAAAAGTATTTGTTAATAATTTTAAGTAAAAGTTTTAAATAAATTATTTCAGGAAAAATCATTATCACTATGCGATAAATTATATTTAAATTATATTTATTTTGTTTAAGATTTTGTTGTTTAAAACTTATATTGTGGGAAACTAAATTTCATTATAAATATCTCATTTCTTTAGAGAAATCCATACAATAGATCACGCTCAGAATATAAGGAAGACGAAAATCCACAAAGAGGTGATTTACCGGGTACGTCTTACGACGGTAAAGACTACGGATACGAGAATAACTATCGAGATCAATATGGGATACTATCACCAGTGATCAATGAGAATGATGTCCTGCGTAACTATTCAAGTTCTACCTCATGGGGAGCCGGCTATGATTATGAAGGTTACAATCAAGAAAGTCAATCTAGGTCCAGCTATGATGATCAACTGAGCTATGATCAACGACATCATTATGAAGATAGAAACGATCATAGTTCTGGTTGGGATCAGCATGAGTCAGTTGACAAATATGAAGGTCAGAGCTATTCCAATAGTTATAAAATTCACCCAGCTCCAGGTATTGAAAAAAAATGCAATGGATCAAGCTGCTGTTATCCTAAGTGTTTTGCTGAGAAGGGTTCAAGGGTGAGTAACATGTTCAATTATTTAATCTTATTTACGTGCATTTGCTATTATATAATCCATTAGAAAAAGCTTTTATATCGTAATATGAATTTTTGTAATATTTTTATAAATATTTAATATTTTTAGCTATATGTAAATTTCAAATTCAAAAACTATTTATATAAAATTTTATTCCTTTTCATTAAATATAAATTTAAATGTAACAATTTAATTGGTACATATTTATAACTGCTCCAATAATAATTTTTTTATAAGTGCAATAAGATTTATTTCAAATAAATCATTTATATATTAATTATAGGGCCCACCAGGTGTAATGGGACCCATTGGGCCAAAAGGTGAACGGGGTTTTCCTGGCGTCGAAGGATTCTTAGGTCCTAAAGGCGATAAAGGTGATCCTGGACCCCAAGGTCAACGAGGAATTCGTGGAGAACGAGTATATTACATAAATTAAAAAAATATATTGAAAAATATTAACTATACTAATATTAACTATTATTTAATGAATTCATTAATTTATTTATAAATTAATTGTTTAATACATATAAATATTGCAAACTATAAAACTAACAAAAGAACTTTAATAGTAATTATATTAAACAATATTTTTAAAGGGAAAAATGGGTTTACCTGGACATGCTGGACAAAATGGAGTTCCTGGTATTCCGGGAGCTCCAGGACCCTCTGGTATGCCTGGTCGTGATGGTTGTAATGGAACTGATGTAAGCTTAAATTTTTATTTTTTATTTAAACTCTATGCAAATCATATATATATATATATAATACATTTATGTAGGGATCTCCTGGACTTCACGGTTTTCCAGGAGAACCTGGTCCACGAGGATTACCAGGTATACTAGGAAATAAAGGAGATAAAGGAGAGCCAGGTCATTGTGGTCGACTTTTAACCGGACAAAAAGGTGAACCTGGAATTGATGGAGTACAAGGAGTGCGAGGCATACCAGGACCTCAAGGACATCCTGGTGCACATGGACCAAAGGGTGAACAAGGACCAGTTGTAAGAATAAGTGTTTATTATTTTTATTGATAAATATTATATATGTTTCCCATTTCTATTAGTTATTTAATTCAAAATAAATTATTAATAACTTTTTCATTTAACTGTATTAATTTTTACAATAATTATCAGTGAACAAAATATTTAATAAAAAAATTTTCCAATTCTATGCTGTTATAATTGAAATTTATCTATGAAAAAATAAAATGAAAAGAAGTAAACATGAGTTGATACAAATTCTGTTTCATGAAAATATGTTTTATTTATATCACTTGCTTATATATACTTTTTTAAATTAAATAAATTGAAACTAAAACATATATAATCTAAGTTTTATTTATTTTTAATTTTATTAGGGTCTTTCCGGTTTACAAGGAATAAAAGGAGAAAAAGGTCACATGGGTGTTGGTTTTGAAGGATCAAAAGGCGATAAAGGCATAAAAGGTGAAATTGGCCCACCCGGTGAAAGTTATCCGTATTCATTAATCAGTCCTCCAGAAGAAGTAATAGGCCCCATAGGATCACCAGGAGCGAAGGGTGACAAAGTATATATATATATATATATATATATATATACATGTATATATACATATTACAAATTGGATCATCAATTAAAATTTGAATACAATGAAAAAATATTTATTGTCATTTCAAAATTTTATTAATAAAATAAAACATTAAATTATAAACACTTAATTTATTAAAAAATTTTCTTTATAAAAATGTTTTTAGAAATATGATTAAATAATATAATATTTGAATTCTTTAAAAAGGTACATAATGTTTGTAAATTATAACCATAATTGTACTATTAAATAAAATACTTATATTATATGTAAAATAAGTAAATAAATAAAATACTAATTACAAAGTTTTATAGGGTGAGTTAGGATCATATGGACAAAAAGGAGAACCTGGATATGTAGGAGATAACGGTTTACCTGGATTAAATGGAATGAAAGGAGAAAAGGGTCTTCCTGGAGCACCAGGAATTCGAGTAATAACAAACTTTAAATAAATAAATAACTATTTTACTTATTATTATTTTACTTAATATTATTAACGGTAAAATATAAAATTTGAAGAAAGAATATAATATTTAAATCATTTTTTGTTGATCCTAATTGTTTAAATCAATTAGGGTCGTGATGGATATTCAGGTCCTCCTGGGCCACCTGGACGTAAAGGTGATCGAGGTTATGATGGAGCTGATGGTTTACCAGGTATACCAGGTCCAAAAGGAGATTCAGGTTCAGATGGACCAACGGGAATACCCGGCCTTCGTGGTCCTCCAGGGCCACCTGGTGTAAGATATAATCATTTGTTTAATAAATTATGAATATTAATATCATTATTATTTATAATTTAATTTTACATATATCATATATAAGAATAAGATTTAATTATATTTGAATATGGGAAAAATTAACAATCTATTTATTCCATTATAATAATATAAAAATATTTAAAATTTTAATTTTTGAATAATTTTTATAAAAAGGGTGGTAAAGGGCAACCAGGTCCACCAGGAGAAAAAGGCCCTAGAGGATATCCAGGACCCATTGGTTTAAGAGGTGCTGATGGTTATCCAGGAACATCAGGCCCAAGAGGGCCAATCGGCCCTACAGGTGGTCCTGGATTAGCAGGTGTTCCTGGAACTGAAGGTCCGCCTGGTGATAAAGGTGATAAAGGTGAACCAGGACTCCCTGGATTTCCGGGAGATGCTGGACCTCGCGGTTTTACAGGATCAATAGGACCAACAGGCCCAAGAGGTGCGCAGGGTGAAAAGGGACTTTCAATCATAGTAAGTTTTATAAACATATTTATTTAAATTGTAAAATAGAGTAAATTTCAATACACTTATGTATCGATAGCAAAAGTTTACTCATATATTTCTGTACGTAAATAACGAATGGTATTATTAATACTTTCATATTTCAAATACTATAAAATAGTAATCAAATTTTTATTATTTATTAATTCTAACAGGGTCCTTCTGGGATGGATGGAGTTCCAGGGAGAGATGGTGCTAAAGGTCAAAAAGGAGAAAAAGGATATGGAGGACAACGAGGTCGTCCAGGTGATTCATTAGAAGGTATTCCAGGTTCACCTGGACAACCTGGTCTAAGAGGAGAAACTGGTCCTCCTGGTAGAGATGGTATACCTGGATTTCCCGGGATTCCTGGTGAAAAAGGAGATGTTGGTGGGAAATGTACGCAATGCTTACCCGGTGTTAAAGGAATAAAAGGAGATCGAGGATTAGATGGTAAAGACGGACTGCCAGGTGGTCGCGGACCACCAGGAGAACGAGGATTTATAGGTGCACCAGGTCTTGATGGATTACCTGGTTCGATCGGTCTTCCTGGTGAGCGAGTATGTATATATTTATATATTATTTATGCAATATTATTCATAATTTTTTAAATAATATGAATCACACAATCATAAATTTACATGTATTTTATTTTATATTTTGAATAATTTCAGGGAAAAGATGGAATGCCTGGTGCTCCAGGCCCACAAGGAGAAAAAGGAAAGGATTGCTTAATATCTAAAGAACAGTTTAAAGGTGAAAAAGGTCAAAAGGGTCAAAGAGGAGATGAAGGAAGAACTGGACCACTTGGATTAGAAGGTCCTATTGGAGAAAAGGGCATAGCGGGCAGTCCAGGTTTCCCTGGACCAAAAGGAGATATGGTATGACATAGATCGATTGCATTTTATTAATTTAATTTAATTTATTTAATTAGATTTGATTGAAAAATTAATTTTATGTTAAGGGAGATCAAGGTTTTCCTGGGCCTGATTGCATACCTGGAAGACCTGGAACACCAGGAAAAAAAGGTGAAATGGGGTTAAGTATCAAGGGAGAAACAGGAGATAGAGGGCGTGACGGATACTCTGGTCAAAAAGGAGAACCTGGTTTTCCAGGAATGAAAGGAGATACAGGTATACAATTTAAGTATTTACACGATAAAAACATTTTAAATTGTTTCATTTAATTAACTTTGATTAATAATAAATCAGTCAAATATAAACTTACATTTTAATATTTCTTAGGTATGTGTCCACCATTAAATTTGGAAGAGGCTATTAAAGGTCCAATTGGAGATAGGGGACAAAAAGGAGAACCGGGTATTCCTGGTCGCAATGGAGAAAAGGGTGATAGAGGTTATCCTGGTGAACCTGTAAGTTTTTATTTAAATTATTTAAGAAGAAATAAAGAATAATAATATCTTATTCATTCATATTTACTTTTATTTATGACATCTATTATAAATTTAGGGTTTATCTGGTCCAGTTGGTGCAATCGGAATACCTGGACCATCAGGTCCTAGGGGATTACCAGGTCCTAGAGGGGAGAAAGGAAATACAGGTCCAATGGGATTTCCTGGCGAGCCAGGTCACTTAGGACCTCGAGGATTTCCTGGTTTGAGTGGATTAAAAGGCATTAAAGGAGAATCTGGAATTTCTATGAAAGGAAGTCCTGGAATACCTGGACCTCAAGGTCCGAAAGGTGATAAGGGATTATCAGGATCTCAAGGGAAGGAAGGTTCAATAGGATATTCAGGTCTACCGGGTTTTGCTGGAGAAAAAGGAGATATTGGAGAGCCAGGCCTAAATGGTATTCCAGGTGTACCTGGAGAAAAAGGAGATGTTGGTCCAATTGGACCGCCTGGACCAATGGGAATAACAGGAACTCCAGGAACCCTTGGACAGAAAGGTCGAATAAATCACAAAGACATATTATTTATTATTATATAAATAGAAGAAACTAAGAAATTTTTTATCTTGATAAATAAGGTGAAACTGGGTTGCCTGGAGAACCAGGACGCACTGGATTACCTGGTTTACCTGGATTGAAGGGTGACATCGGTGTACCAGGTATTGATGGCTCTAAAGGATTCTCTGGGCGTAGAGGCCCTCCTGGATTACAAGGTACTTTTTAATTCATCATTTTTAATTTTGTGTTATTATATATTAATAATATAAAATTTTATTTTATAAAAGTTTTTGTTCATTTAAATACATTTTGTCACAATAAACAAATTATGAAATCATTCAAATTATAAAAAGAATGAATACGATAAAATATTATAAATATTAATTGCTTCATAATAGTTATGTATTTAAATAAATTTATTATATAAAAATAAACAAATCAATTTTTTTATTTTCTTTTTTAGGACAACCTGGTCTTGATGGCACAACAGGACTCAAAGGACAAATAGGTCAAAAAGGATCGCAAGGATTTCCTGGTATGCCTGGAATGGATGGGAAACCAGGTCATCCTGGAGAACCAGGTCCAAAAGGTGATATTGGCTTTCCTGGAGAGTCAGGATTAATGGGTGTTATGGGCTTACAAGGAGAAAAAGGAAATCGTGGAGATCAGGGATTTCCGGTAAGTAAATATACAACTTGGAAAACCCCTGTATTACCCCTTGCCATTTTCATAAACCTTCATGTAACCTAGTAAACGCTGAAAAAATAAATATTAAATGTTGGTTATCAATTACAATTGTTATTTACCTGATAAAAATATTCAATATTTATGTAATTTATTCATGCATACATTTATAAATTAATTTATTTAAAAAAGGAAGAAAAATGCACTTATATACAAAAACAAAAAGATCAGTAAATGTTTTCTTTAAGTAGTTAAATTTTTTAATTCTACAAAAATAAAACGATACTATGCATTATTAGCAGTTATTAGCATATATTTATTGTTATTTATAAATTATTTCAATTTTTATATTCATGTATTTATATACAATGTATCAATATATAATAATAATCTTAATAAAATATATTTAAAAAACAGGGACAAAAAGGAGAGCCAGGTCAAGTATCAGAAAAAGGTCAAAAGGGTGAACCTGGCATGCCTGGAATTAGAGGTCCACAAGGGTTACCTGGTCGTGATGGTACTGATGGTGAAAAAGGTCAACCTGGGTTAATCGGATATGGGCGTATGGGAACCCCTGGAGAAAAGGGTGAACCAGGTTTACCTGGAAGAGATGGAGTAATAGGTGATAAAGGTCAAAAAGGTGATACTGGACTTCGTGGTTTCATTGGACAAAAGGGTGACACTGTTAGTATTTTATCTAAATATATATATAACAGAAAATAATTAAATTACAAATTTAATTTATAAATATATTATGTAAAATATACAATTACTTTTTTTTTAAAGAATAGTTTAAGTTTTGTAATTATTAAATTTAGAATAAACAATATAGAAAGTGAAAAAATTAATAATAACATTACAGGGTTTCCCTGGTCCTGTTGGTGAACCCGGAATTCCAGGATTAGATGGGGTAAATGGAGCAAAAGGTGATATAGGACCTCCAGGTATTCCGGGTTTCCCTGGTTTAGATGGGGATAAAGGTGTTTCTGGTAGACCTGGATTAGATGGACCAAAAGGGGAAGAAGGACCTGAAGGTGCAATTTAAATTATAAAAAATTATTAATAAAACATTAGTATTATGGCAATATTAAACTTTTTTTACAAATATATAAAAAAAATTAATATTAATTTTATTTAAATTAAGGAGAAATATTGAACTACTAAATTACAGATTTAAATATATAAATTAATAATATACCTACAACAATTATTGTACAACGATATATTGTAATTTATAGACTTATATAACATTTCAATTCCGATAATATATGAATATATAATTAATTATGTTAATATATTAAACAAAATAATACATGTATTTTTTATTAAATATAAATTAAATTAAATTAAATATAATGAATACACTGGATTTGCTTCAGTAAAAATTGTATAACTGATTTTATAAGGAAAATGATGTGTATAGTGAAATAATTTTTTTAATAAGTTCTGCTAGATTTAATCATGTTAAGTTAAATGAATGAATACCAACTGAATGTTTTTTACTATTTCAAATTAATTTTTTTATTACATTCAAATTTATTACATATTTATTTTTTAGGTCTTGAAGGAAAAAATGGATATCCTGGACCTCCTGGTGAACCCGGTGAACGTGGTCCTCCTGGTTTAACTGTTAATATTAAAGGTGAAAAAGGAGAACCAGGATTACCAGGACATCCCGGACGTACGGGTGAAAAAGGTGATTTTGGGTTTCCTGGACCTGTAGGTTTTACTGGTGAAAAGGGTAATAAAGGAGATATAGGAAATTCAGGATTCCAGGAGAAAAAGGTAAATATATATATAATAAATAATCTACTATAATCATTTTTTTTTGAAAATTTTTATATATTTAAATTCCTTTTGGAAAAAAATAATGTACTTCATCCAAAATTGTTTATATTCTCAAATTATTAATTTTCAACTTATAGCAATAAACAATACTTCATTTATAACAAATATTAATTTATTATTGTATATTAGTTTTTCAATAAATATATAAATTTTAAAAATCTTATTGCATACATCCAAAATCATTTTATTTTCGTAGAGTATAAATGATGAAAAATACTCTTACACATTCGTAACGAGCTACATTTTTAATAGATAATTCATTTAAGACATAATATTGCATTGAGTTAATTTATAAAATAGCAAGTAGAATGAAAATTTATCAACTCAAAGATAAAGTATTATTATTATTTTTGTTTTAATAAGATCGTTTTTACTTATATATGATAAAATTATTTTATTTATTAATTATACAATAATTTTAGGTGATCGTGGACCTTATGGTTTACAAGGTCCAATAGGCCTTACTATAAAGGGAGAAAAAGGACTTCCTGGTCTTATGGGTAAGCACGGTAGGGATTGTGCTCCTGGTTTATCAGGAGCTAAAGGAGAACGAGGTTTACCTGGATTACCAGGAAAAAAAGGCGAGGTTGGTTTTCCTGGTTTACTTGGATCTCAAGGTATAAAAGGAGATGTTGGATCTCCTGGTTCTACTGGACTACCTGGGCGAGATGGAAGCCCCGGTATAGATGGTATGCCTGGATTGATAGGTGAAAGAGGTCAAAAGGGAGATCAAGGTCCACCAGGACTTTACGGTCCTCCTGGTCAGAAAGGAGATATTGGATATCCAGGTTTAAATCGATACTTTTATTAAAAATATAAATTTATTTTTTAAAACTAAGTTATAATAATTTTTATAAGGTCGTGATGGTTTGGATGGTGAACCCGGAGAAAAAGGCGAAAGAGGATGGAATGGAGAAGATGGTTTGCAAGGAATTCCAGGAGAAAAGGGAGATAGAGGTTTCCCAGGCCTTGTTGGTATCGCTGGAGAAATTGGTTTAACTGGAGAAAAAGGAGATAAAGGAGAAGATTGTATAACCTTACCCACGGAACAAGGAGAAAAGGGTGATAGAGGCTTCCCAGGTGACATTTTTATCAATTATTACTAAATAATCTGATTTGAATAAATATACAAAAATATATTAATGCCATTTGTAGGACCAATTGGACCCCCTGGTTTACCTGGTGAAAAAGGTGAAGTAGGATCCCCCGGATTACCAGGAGCAGATGGCCCTAAAGGTGTACCAGGACTTGATGGACTTCCAGGACCACCAGGCTTAAGAGGGTTATCAGGTGTACAAGGAGCTCCAGGACCAATAGGTCTTACAGGACCAATCGGTCCAATAGGGGCTCCAGGTGAACAAGGGCTTCCATGCGAGGTCTCTCCTGATTATCTCACTGGGATTTTACTTGTAAAACACAGTCAAAGTCAAACTGTACCAGAGTGTGAGCGAGGCCACGTGAAACTCTGGGAAGGTTATAGTCTTTTATACACCGATGGAGATGAAAGAGCACACTCTCAAGATTTAGGTATAGATTATTATTTGTGATTTCTTAATATTAATATATATTTTGATAAAATAAAATATAAATTTTTAATTAATCATTGAACGATTGTATGTAAGTGAATTGTATATAAAATTATAAATGATAGAATTTTTTATAATTATATATATAATATATACATGTGTTTTAAAAATATTAAATAAATCAGTATTCCTTTTTGCAAAATTAAAAATGCTTAGTATCCATATTTTCTTTTTTTACCTATGCTAATTTATAAAATATTGTAAAAATTTTATAAGGAATATAAATTGTTTTATATTATTTTTAGAATGCCATAATAGGTGCTTATTTAATAGTAATTGGTATTTATTATTTGTATTAAATTGTTTTTTATATTTATATTTTTTATCTATTCATTGTTGAATTGTATACGGTAAAATGATTCAAAAAATAGTTTATTACTTATTTTAAATGTAAAGTTTCACAAAAATTATAATTTTGTAAGCATATAATAAATTGCAACTATTTTTTTGTAATTTTATCACATTTCCCTTGTAAAATTTATGGAAGAATTTACAAATAATATCTATTAAATTATATATAAAATTATTTAAAAATTGTACATCTAACATTGAGAAATTGATAAATAATAAGAAGAAAATTATCAAAAATTTGTATAAATTAAATTTAATTATGTGTAAATAATACGAAACTATTAAATCATAAGTCATAAATTCAGTAATTTACCATTTTTTTATTTGCATTATATAGATGTTTATTTAAAATATTAGGTATTATTTTATAATTTTTGTAATAAATTATTTTTACTTACAATTTAAAAAAAATAAATAATTATTATTTATTTAGTATGTATATGTTTCATCAGGATTATTAGTTTTTGTTTGAAAAATGATCTAGAAATAAAAAAATATAATAGAGATAAATCATTTTTCTATAGAAGCTAGTCTACTTTATGTATTTTATATTGATCTTCTTAATTGCATTTTATAAATTTTATGAATAGGTTACGCTGGCTCTTGTGTAAGAAAATTTTCTACGATGCCATTTTTATTTTGTGATGTAAATAGTGTATGCCACTACGCTAGCAGAAATGATCGATCCTATTGGTTATCTACTAACAGTCCAATCCCTATGATGCCAGTTGAGGAAACTGATATTGAGGAATATATTTCTAGGTAATATTGACTTGAATATTTGTTATATTTTATTTAGATTATTTTAATTTTTTCCTGACTAGTTCGTAACGATTGTTTAGATCATGATTGCGTTTTGTGTAACAAAATTAATTATAAGATATAATTAGAAGTTCATTAACAACATTAACATTAAAATTAAAATTAAAAGCATATAAGTAAATGTTATAATTTTTATTTTGTGTTTAGTTTTTTATTTATAAAGAAGTATTATAATTAAAAGTTCAATTAAATAAATTAAAAATACAAGTAAGTACTATAAATATGAATTTTAATTTTGCAAATAAGTTTTTATCATTTATATATATATAACGATAAAAATTCAATAAAAACATAATTTAATAATAAATATTAAATACATTGAAATTTTTTAACGTATTGTACTGAAATAAAATTAATATTAATTTTTTTTAAACTAGTTATGTATAGAAATCGTATTAAATAATTATACATTAAATTGTAACCATATTAAAGTAACAAGATTATTTGTAATTGTAGATGTATTGTATGTGAAGTGCCAGCAAATGTTTTAGCAATTCATAGTCAATCACTTAGTATTCCAGAATGTCCAGATGGTTGGTCTGGTCTTTGGATAGGCTACAGCTTTGTAATGGTTTGTATTAATTTTTTATTTATTTTTGATAAGTAGCCATTTTATGTTCAAATTGGATATATATTATGTGTATATTATCATACAAAATTAATTTATATGTGATTAAAGCAACTTTATTAATTTCTTTGTCAAATTTTATTTTTTTTTTTATTTAAAGGTAAATTTAAAGGATTTAATTAATTTTTTATATTTTAAAAATTTCCTTTTTTTAATAAAGAAAAAGTATTTTATTTTATAAAATATTATTTTTTTCCAATTTATTCTTAATACTTTAAGATTTTTTTACAAATTTTACATTCATAAATACTTGTTGTTAATAAATAAGTACAGTATAAACACTTTTATTTGTTTATTAGAATAACAAGTTTTGCATCTTATAAATATATTCTTTTTTTTTATTTCGAAATATTGTAAACATTTTTATGGTTATTAATAAATATAATTAATATTAATATTAATATTTAGTTTCTTTTTATAAATAAGAATGACAAGTAGAATTATTATAATGTATAAATAAAAATTATAATTATGTAAATTTTGTTTAATTTCTTATATCATAAATATTACAGATTTATTATTGAAAAAACATTTTTCAAAATAATTCAAAATATGAATTAATTTTTTAAATTGATTCATTTAATTATGCGTAGCACACTGGAGCAGGTTCACAAGGTGGTGGACAGTCACTATCCAGCCCTGGATCTTGTCTAGAAGACTTCAGGGCCACTCCATTTATTGAGTGTAATGGTGCTAAAGGACATTGTCATTATTATTCAAATGAATTCAGTTTTTGGATGGCAACAATCGAAGACCGTGATCAGTTTCAAAAACCTGATAAGCAAACATTAAAGGCAGGCAATTTGCGGTCACGAATAAGTCGTTGTCAAGTATGTCTAAAGAACACGTAATGGGATTGGGTGCAAGCACTCATGCAGGGAAATATTGATTGATGAACTTATTTGTTGAGTTAATAATTAAAGTTTTAGATAAATAAAATCATAGATATATCGTTCATGATAATACAAAGACAATGATAATCTTTCTACTGTCCAAAGCTTTAAAAAAATTATTAATTATGAGAGAAAAAAGATCCAGAAGAAGGAGGGTGAAATAAAGTTAAAAAGTTATAAATTAAAATATCTGCAGATTCTTCAATTTTTATTAGTTTTTATTTTTATATATGTTATTAATATCTTACCATTTGTACTTTTAATTTGTCATCGGTATGCCTCCTATATATTTTTTTTAGTTATTGATTCCTCTTAGAGTGTACGATTTCTATATGCCTTTTTTAACGTTACCATTTAATCCTTTTGTTATTTTTATAATTGCATCATTATGTGTCTTACAATATTATTTAACATACGAAATTAAATGTATCCATATATGTTCAAGTATATTATAATCCAGTCTGGATTTCAAACTCTATAACGTGAAAAAAATTGCTAAATACTATTATGCATTACTTATATCATAATATGATATATAAAATTTTGTACATTAGAATACAAATATTACACAGTAATCTTGTGATGCCAGATATTTTATTATATAGATATTTTACTATATAATCGTAGAAAGTTGACATTAAGTAAAGTTTTTGTTATTTAGCTTGATTATCATTATGATTTTTTTAAGAAAAAAAATTAATTTATTTGAAATAAGGAATTGGATTTTAATCCTTTTACCATTAGATAATGCTTATTTACAACAGAGCTGCTTTATATCCTATGCTTTACATTTTCTCAATTGGAAAATTAATAATAATAGTTAATTTATTCTATTAAATTATTAATCTTTATTTTAATATGAATATATTTGTTATATTAAAATTAATGTATTTATCTTTATTATATATGTATAGGTATCAATTTTTGAACTTCAAATAAATTTCTTTTTCTGTAAATTCAAATGAGTTATTATTTATTTTGTGTATCTATAAATAAAAATTACATTTTTTATAAAAAAAAAGTTACATTATAAAAATTAATATAAATTATTAATTTTTATATAATTAGTGATTTCTATGCAAATGTTTATTACTTCAATAACATAACATGTTCATTTGTTGACTCTTGGAGATATTAAAGTTGAAATTTTATGTCTGTTGAGAAACTATACTTTTAAATGCAATTTATTATAATGTATAATGAAAATTTTGTAATATAAACATATAACAAATAAGTGCATTAGTTTCTTTCACATTCAAAATTAAATTTTAGTATTTTGAATATGTACGAACCATATATTACGTTTTGATTACGAGACAATCTTCGTAGACGTAACTTAAAAGAAACCGAATATATGGGTATATATATATAGTTTTGATTTAAAAAAAAATTCTGTGTTTGTATATATTTTAAAAAATGTAATTCAAATGTTACATTTCGTAAAGATCATTTTTTGTCAATAAATTTTTAAAAACGTATTTGTAAGTTCATATCCATTATTGATGAGATTTCTTTTACTTTGATATAATGCATTTTATTTAAGGGATTCATAATTAAAGTCAAATTATATTGTCTAAAAATATAGTACCGGGCTAGGAGGGCCAAATATCTAGAGTTAGGTGTAAACTCCCCGATGGTGGAAGGGAGGATTGCAGGCAAGTGGACAGGATAGTGCATGTATTCAATAATAAATAGCTTTGGTATTTGTTGTAGTTTATTGCGATAATTGCATTAGTTATATAATAATGATTTTTAGTTGATGTTTGAATGCCTTCGTTTCTTGAGTTTTGTATTGCTATTGCCACAGAGCTGTAATGTGCGTTGCATGTCCAGGTAGAAGGTCCAGTAGAAGCCTTCTGGTCCTCTATATGTAATGCACGTGGTGGTGGTGTTATATACGTAGAAGAACAAGGTCGTAAACCCCCGTGCTTCCTTGTGCAGTGGCACGTTGCAGTAGCTTGAATTTGCCTTGGTATTGTCTTATTGCTTACGTTGAAGGCTCTGCAGGTGCGCTTTTGGTGGCACTTCATCTTAGTCTGCAGATATTGCTGCGTACGGCGCCTCCTAAGTCTTTCTTGTGGGAGCTAAACTTGCCCCTTATGCGTTTGCAGATTGTGTTTGTGGGAGCTAAACTTGCCCCTTATGTGTTTGCAGATTGTGTGAGCTTGGTCGCTCTACAGTTCTTTACCTTGTGAGTTCTGCATATTTAGTGCTCTTGATGGCAGCTCGTGATGTCTGCAGACTGCCTCGTGCGGCAGCTTGTAGTTTATGTTTGTGTTTTTCTGGCTATACCTCGTATTGTTTGCTGAGTTTGCCTCGAACGGCTCCTTATAGGTTGTGATTATGTTGTGCCTTGCGCACCACTGTTTACTTGTTCCTTTTTCCTTGTCTTGCACTGCTGCAACTGTATGATTTGATTTGCGCTTATCTTGCACTTGTCATGAGTTGAATATGACTAGGCTTTGCCTCTTAATCGGCCTTTACTGTGTATGTCTACATCCTTGTTATTTGGCGTTCCCTTGGAGAAGAAGCCTTGCCGGCAATTCTCTGGTGAGAAGTGACTATCGTGCGCCTTGCCGGCGTCTTTCTTGAAGGCATTCTCGGCTACCGCGTGGTCCTTATGAATTTCCAATCAGAGCGCCTCTTTCTGGGCGTCTCCAATCGAATTGATTCTTTCGTTATTGGTGGCTCCAATTAGAGCGCTTCTTACTTGGATCCGCACCATAAGGGAGACTTCTTTGGCACGTTCTCGCTTCACTATCCGAGCCACATGTAGCTGGGTTTGACAACAGCATATGCCTTTAATATCCCTTTTACGGATGTAAGACGAGGTGGTTTTTGCTTATATTTTTATGACTTGATTATGCCAGAAGTATTATGACTTGTCGTCGATCGATGCTTTGTGGCGAGGCCGTGTCAAATGTCTCGTAGCATTAGTTTTATGACGGCTATTTGCTGGACACTTGGACATTTGTTCTCGCCAGATGTGTTTATGAATTGTATTTTCTTTACATATTCGACGTTTTGCTGAATTGTTTTAGATTTAGTTAATCCGAGGCGCGTTTGAATGTTTATTCCTCGAGTAGTCGAGAGTCGCTTTTTTTTACGGAATTCTTATCTCGAGTTTCCTAGATGTCTAATGAGCTGTGAGTTTCTACATTCTCGAACATATATTATGATATAAATATACATACACAATTTCTATATTGAATTCTACAGAATATTTAAAAGAATAATTAGACTATGTAAAATTAAAAATATAAAATTTATGTATGAACAATAACTAACTTAAAGAACATAATATGTTTACGGTTTATTATTGAATGGGTATATTAATGTTTTTGTGTATTTATTACAAATGCTGAATAAATTCTTAAAAATAAAAAATTTATTTTTTATTTTAAATTCATTTTTAAATAGTTTTGCGATCACTAAAATGGTCATAAACTTTATTCAAATTTTTCCAAATTTTATTTAATATAAGAATTAAGAATTAAATAAAAAATTTTTCATTTTAAATTTTTGTCTTCATAATAATTATAACTTAGTAAAATATATTAGTTCTGTTTTTATTATCTATATTCATAAATAAATAATAATTTATAAATTATAATAAAAATTATAATTTAAAATTCTATTATAGTTTTTATTTCCGGTATTCTTCAATTAATAAATGGTCTTGCTATTTTTTAATAAAATTGATTTTTAAAGTTTTATATTATTTAAACATTATATAAAATAAATTAATAGTACTTTAGACTTTTAAATAATAAATATTTGAATTACTTAATAAATTAATAATTTCTCATTTTTCAAATGATAGTAAATTATTTAAGTATTTTCTTAGTTATAATTATAGTTCCATATACATAAAGAGTTTAACTAAGAAATCTGTTATTGAAAATCCTGTTTTAGTTGTAACAAATTGTAAAATTATCATTTCAACCAGAAATTGTTTTTGCAAATGTAAGTGAATTTTGAAAACAGTATAAATATAATAAATAATATATTTTAAACATTTAAAATTGTAAAGCAGTTAATGTTAATGATAAAATGTTCGCATTATTAAAAAAAAATATAATATAACTAGCAAATACACAGACGTTAAGTTCTTATGTATATGGTTAATTATTAATGAAATAATCTATTGTGCGAAACAAGATTTTTTTTATATCTATTAAAATATAATTTTAATACATGATTTTGATAAACTTTTTTTGGGAAACAAAGATTAGTGTGGTTTCTTTATGATAAAAGTATGATTTGCGTCAAAATATAGATCGAAATCTTTATTATTGATAAGATAATTATTGAGATAATAAATTATTCTTCAAAGAACACTAATTTATGGAGCTATCGATAGTATTAACTGAAAATATTTCATAATAATAGCATAGCATTTACAATAATGGTTTAAAAGACTAAAATGCTCACAGCCATAAGGAACTAACTATATACTTTAAAAGTTAAATATTTTTATATAAAAATTTGGTTTTCAATAATTTACATTCTGACACTTGATCTTGAAGAAATGTTTTAAAAACATTAAAAATAAAACTATTTTACAATATTGGAAATGCTATCTTAATTAAAAACGTAGATGATGCAGCTTTTTAATTCATTTATAATAAAAATTTAAGATCATTAACTTTTTTTGAATTCATTAATTTCAGCTATAAATTCTATTGAAAAAGGTATTATATATCAAATCGGTATTTATAATTATAACCATTGTAAGGGAATATAATTTAAAACCAAACATTACAAATACATTATAAATACTATATAGTTTTATATACAAATAATAATGAATTAACAATTAATTTATTATTTAAAATCTATATTTGAAAATATTGTGTTAATATACATTTTTATACAGATCTTTTACTATTGATAAATTTTTAAAAAATAAAATTGAATATTTTGAAAGAAAATTAAAAGAAATATTTTAAAATATAAATATTTTTTAAAATACAACTGAAATTTCTTGGAAACCGTTATCATTGAAACATTAATCATGAAAATATAATATTACGAATTCGATTGTTATTTAACTAATGCAGTATACTTTTAAACGTATCTTATTTATCGTGTGAAAATAAAGTGATAAAAAATAATGTTTTATAATAGAAAATCAATATGTCA